GGCTGGAGAAAAGGTTCAGGATTGTTGTTAACAACAAATTAAGAAAACATATTAAATCCCACACAAATAATCCATCAGGCTGGAACAAAATAAGATTTTAAAATCCTAGTTTGTTATCAGCTTTATCCCCCCCACCCCCCGGCACCAAATAACATGCTAATGTAATTGTTCTGACTTCTAAATAGTAACAAGATTCAGAATTTTCAATGCATAAAATGTTCTTGCCACACAATTGTATAATCTACTCTTTCTACTCACATGCAGAGACAACTGAGACACTTCCCAACTGCTGCTCACAACAAGTGGCAGTATAAACTAAATGTTAAAGTCTATAAAAATCTGTGTGTGAAAAGTAAATCTTAACGTCTTCAGAAGAAAATAGAAGTACACTTCTGGTATTTTTATTAGGTAATAATGTTTGCTCCACAGTGCCTTTATATAACCATCTTATGAAAATAAACTTGTATCAATGTCCCATAAGTGCAAACCAATAAAAACAAGTACAATCTTGCTGCAAGATAACACTGCAAGCAGAATGAAAAAGAAATATAAACTAAGGCCAGTGTGTAGATGTGAGAGAATGACTTTCACAACTATTTTCATTTACTGCCATACTTCAGTTAACAAAGGGGGAAAGCAGGCTGGAAGTAAGAGCCTGGGGTGGCGTGGGGGCATGGCACGCTGCATGCCTTGACTCCATCCCTGGCATCACACTGCCCACCAAACCAGACAGCGGGCAGTGTGGGAACACTCCTGTGGCATGGCACAGCAATTAGACACAGCACACCGCAGGAGTGAAGAGCCACAGCAGCAGCAAAAGGGGCACATTTTTTCCAGAACAAAAAGAAGTGGCATTTTGCTGGAAAAACACCGGATTAGGGCTGCAACATGCAGTTGCCACGGCCCTGATCTGGTGCTCAAAGGGGAGATATTAAGCTGCCCCTTCACAGTAGTTTGTTTAGCCTCAAAAACTCGACAAAGAAGCTCCTTTTTACAAAGTCTTTTAATACCTGCCCAATCCCATTTTTCTTTCTCATTCTCTCAAGCTGGAAGTTTTTTAGCCTCATTAGCACTGGGAGGAGGATGAAAGAAGGTGGAGTAACACATACTTTTCAGTGTTAGGTTGCAGCAGCATGTCTGCAGCAAACAATGCAAAGCTTGAGCTGGGAAAGAACAGAAGTCTATTCTAGCTGATCCTACTTTAGTGGTAATAATGTTCAATGCACAGTTTTGTAGCAGATGCCTCCAGAATATCTTACTGTGCATGCATGAACAGCAAAACAGAGAAAAGAGGAGAGAGCAGATAAACCTGCCTGACTAACTATATGTTTTTAAAAGCATAAGTCTATACGCTTGGCCACAAAAATGAAAACCGTAAGGAAACGAGCTTGGTGAAAGAAAAAATAATAATCCCTGGATGCATTTTGGAAAAAAAACTTTCAAGTGGTCTCTAAAAGGTTCAAAATGTTTTGTGGAATGATGTAAGGCTTACCTGACCTTTCACGTGCACATTTTTTAATTATTATTTTTGTTTTGTTTTGAATAAAATCTTTACAGAAACCTGTTGAGCTGTTCTTCTTTTTCATGGTATAGGAAACTATCCCTGCCCTTTTACATGTTATTTCTGCTTCTGGTGCCAAAGTTTTTTTTAAAAGAAATCATGCCCAGGAACATATGTATTTTATTAACTAAGGTCTACCTGTATTTGTTTCTTGGTTATTTCATGGTTGAAATATTTCTATCTTGCATCTCAGTCAAGGACACTTAAGATGGCAAACATCTTTTTAATAAGCAACAGACATGTGAAATATGGAAACAAACACATCAAATAATGAATTACTAAAAAGATTAACTTGTTCATTACTTGACATGGGGTAGAACTTGATATGATTATAAAAATGCTCATAAATTTCAGATCTTTAAAAAGTAGATACTACAAATATATTTAGCATACCAGAGGCTTCTGAATATGCAACTGGACATTTTCAGACTGAATTGGATAGTGAAGGGGGTTTGGGGCAGGAGTCAAAAATGGTGAAAGCAGGGAAGTTTCAGTTCCTAAAAGTGGGTTACAGCCCTCCTAACTCCTTGAATACATGGCTTATGTCAATTAAACTTATCCATCATCACTGTAAGCTTGCTTTTATTGACAAATCTTCACACTAGATACGGTTAGGTGCAGCAGCAGTTTGCATGCCATCTGCAAATTTAAAGTATCCCTTCTTATCACAAATGATCAGTATTGCTGGTACTAGCAGCACTGAGACTTTGTTATAAGAGAAGAAGGAGCATCTAGAGTGAGCCATTGCTGCTTTCTCCATCCTACCCCTCAAAAAAGAAGTGAGCAGCTGAGAAAAGAGCAGGAGTACAGACTGGCTGCTTCAGCCCACCCGCTGCTAGAGAAAGAGATATCTGTCCAGTCTGTATTTTCTTGATTTGTTCATTGTTTGTTTGTTTTAGATACCTCTCTGGTACTGCTTCACTAGAATAGTGCAGGTACCCCAACAAACTGAAGGGTAAATAACTCCCTTCGTGATCCTGTCCTTTATTTGCCATCATTGTTATTATAATGAACATCACCAAGAAACTATAGCAGAGGAAAGATCATAAGCAAGTTACTATCATTTATATAATAACCTGACCCACTGGCTAGGGTTTTTTGTTTTTTGGCGTGTGTATGTGAGTGATGATAATTTGTATTCACTTCCTGCAACTGGCTGATTCAGAACTTACATTGTGAGTTTCCAGGAAGAAGGAAGGTAGGAAGGAGTGTACAGAAGAGAGATAAAATCAAGTGGCCATGCCATTGAATGTAGACATCTATACTATAGAATAGGAAAAGATCCATGCCATGATACAAAGGTGAACTAAGGTTGGTTTGCCATCACCCACTAAGCCCCACTTTTTATACTCCTAAAGCCAGGTTTATACAAATATCTTAAGCTTGATAAAACTGCATGGCAGTCATAAGCAAAATCATAGGCCATACCCCATATCTTTACATTCCGTATTCCTGTATTTTGTGGATGATACAATGATTTTTGTTGAAGTATTTATTTATTTAAATTATTTCACTTCTGCTCCTTGTGAAGGAGTAAGTTTCAGAAGTGTAAACAAGGGAATGGGTCCAAACAGATGTATGAATGGTCTGTTAATACTTGGCCTCAAAAAAGCAAATTTTTAAAGGAATATTAACATCAAGCACGTGATTTGTAATGTGCACAACAGTATTACTGACACATCAACAGTTTATGATGTTTAAATATGTTTTACTAAAACACATAATTCAAAATAAGGATGCAAAAAATGAAATATTAATTTGAAATTACATCTAGCTTATAAATATAATGCTATCCCCCCCCCCAAAAAAAAGAGAAAAGAGAAAAAACCACCTGTAACTATAAATGAGTGACCCAAAAGCAAGGCCACATTATAAATACAACATCTTTATTTTTATCAGTTAATAGACTCTGACACTGCAGAACAGACATCTGGCTGTTCAAAGATGAAATGTATTTAAATATTATATGGCAAACACTACAGGCAGCAACCATGTAATTTACATAAAAAGCTACAGTCCAGAAGTACTTTGTTCAGCATGAAAAATTGTGACTGTACTATGAATATCAAATAAAATGATCACTTTTCTTAGAGCTATCTATAATGTCAATCAAACACAGCATGTGCAGTAGTAAGTAGTGGTATTCACAGAATATAGTATACATGAATTAGTAAAATATACCTAACTACTGTGACATACTGACATGAACATGAAACACAAATATCTCTCTTTTTCTTTGAAAGATTATACACCAGAAGTCCAATAAAACATTTTTTTGGTTCATGAATTAGCACCTTGCTTAATGGTTTTAAGACAAATTGTTGCATTCCTTTTTACAGCTACCATCTATGGGTAAAAACACAACCAGTAGTTTACAAGCTAATTAGCTTTGCAACTAGCACTGAAATATAATCCGAAGAGTAGGAAGGAAAAAAGCAGCAGGATTTCCCTTTATGAATCCAAGTAAAAGGGGATGTACAATATTTTCAGAGAGTAACAATTTTGGAAGGTGGTCCAGGGAACACTCTGTAGGTGAGCTTATTTGATTTGATGATGCTAGTAAGGAAACATAAATGTTTCTTTTGATGCTGTGCTGGTAATCACGCATGTAACCTTTTACAGAAGGACTCTCCTCAGACATTACTCCAGAACATGAGAGCATGGCAGCACCATGCTTTGCCCTCTCTGTTGTCACTTTCCTTGCATGGAAAGGAAGACATTTGAGAAGAAGTTCCTATCCTTCAGAGACTTCTTCAAGTAAGACTCCTGATTTTCCAGAGTTCTTGCTTGCATTTAGAACTGCCATGTGAATAGAAATTTCTGATACATCATTTCCCACAAGAACGTAACAACAGAGGTGAGGGACCCTTGTCACAGGTGTGCTCAGGAAACTAGGGTACAACACTTGAAATACCATTTTTAATTACCGTATTTTCCTTCGTATAAGACG